TTGTTTTTGTTTCCTTATACAGCAAGTAAGTAAATGAATAAGTAAATTTTCACAGTGTTACCTCTGAAACCAGTCAAAAACCCAGTCAAACCACTGGTTAAGAGTCATTCAATCCCCTCCTGATGAATTTACTTAGTCCTTTGAGGGTGACTTGTAGTTGGTCAGTTGATGGTACCACAGTCCACTCCTGAGGCTTTTCCACCGGTCCTTTTCCTCAGGAGGCAAGAGTCCACCCCTTTTCTTTTGTTCGGATCGCTGTCTCGGTGGTCAGCAGCACCTGAAATGGACCTTCCCACTCGGGAGTTAATGATTAATCTTTCCACACTTTTATCAATACCCAATCACCTGGTTTTACATTGTGGATATTAAAAGCCAATGGTGGTATTTGAGGCAGAAGTCCTTTCTTTCTTAGTTTCATTAAAGTGTTACCAATTCTTATTACATACTTTCTTACATACTGATCTCCTACTTCAGGGATGACAATATCCCTGTCATTACTCATACATGGTAATCCAAACATCATTTCATAGGGAGAAATTCCCAGGTCTGTTCGTGGCTGAGTATTGATCCTTAATAAGGCCAACGGCAGGCATTTAATCCAAGACATCTGAGTCTCAATCATTAACTTAGTCAAGGTTTGTTTTGAAGTTTGATTCATTCTTTCTCCTCTTCCAGAACTCCGAGGATGCCATGGGGTGTGCCATGCCCATTCGATCCCTAAGGCTTCAGATAGCTGTTGTATAATTTTTAAAATGAAATGCGTTCCTCCGCCCAAGTCTATTCTTTCTATTAATCCATATCTGGGGATAATGTTTTCCAGTAACACCTTGGATACCATGCTTGCCATTGCCCTTGGTGTGGGGGATTGCTTCCACCCAATGAGTTAAGTGAGCCACTAATACCAACAAATACTTCCACCCTTGTATTTAAGGTAGCTCTGTTAAGTCTACCTGGAGGCTTTGTATGGCTAGCTCCTGTTCCCCAGCCACCTTTTTTTTTTTTTCGTTACCTTTTTGTTCACTTTTTAACAAATTAAACATCGATCAACTAGTTGTTTAGCTACCGTATATATTCCTATACACCCATATTGTCTAAGAAAATGATCACAAAGTGATTGCGTTCCCCAATGTATTTTCTAATGTATTAATGACAGAATTTCTCATGATCTTGTTTTATTTAACATCTGCCTTCCATCTGCTAAAGTCCATTTTCCTTCTGAATCTTTTCCCCCCTTATTTTTAAGTATATCCTTTTCTTGTTCTGTGAAATTTGGGGCTAAATTCTCATAAGCCCCTGGTATTATTACCAATAAAACTACCAATGATGATTCTGTAGCTGCTTCTCTGGCTACTTAATCTGCTAAATTATTCCCCCTTATTTCCATTGATGCTCCCCTCTGATGTCCTTTCACATGCACAATTGCAATTTCTGTGGGGAGCTTCAGGGCTTCTAAAACTTCTCTGATCAGCCACTCGTGTACTAGCTCCTTCCCTTTTGTATTTATAAGCCCTCTTTCTTCCCATATTTTTCCAAATGTGTGGACCACTCCAAATGCATACTTTGAGTCTGTGTACACTGTCCCTTCCTTATCTCTCAAATATACCAATGTCTGTTTTAGGGCATAGAGTTCACAGACTTGTGCTGACCACCCAGCAGGTAATTTCCCCTTTTCAAACACTTCCATCTTCTGCCTCTCGATAATTACATAACCCAATATTTTTCCTTCTAGGCATCGAGAGGACCCATCAATAAATAGTTTTTCTCTATAGGGCAAAGGTTTATTTAACAGATCTTCTCTTATTTTCGTTTGATAATTTATAAAATCCAAACAGTTACGCTCTGGTTCCTAAATATCCTCCCCGACTCTCCTCCCATAATTCTAGTAATTTAACCACTAGTTTTCCTTCATCCAGCACCACACCTATTCCTAATTGCACTTGTAAATCTCTACCTAGCAAATTACATCCTACCCCTGGCATTAACAACAAATCATTAACAGCATATTGATCTTCCCCTTGTATTAACACATTCTTTATAACTGGGACCGAAAACCCCTTCACCTTTAGCCCCTACAGCCCAAGTTGTATCTTTTACATAATCTTCCTCCTGGGGTCTTAATTTCAAATTTATCAAGGGCTCTTCTGTTGGTATATCCCCCAGGAGGTAGAGTCCCTGACACTCCTAGTGATTACCACCCTCATCCTGTTGGGTTACTTCAAACACCAACAGGTCCCGTATTCTCTGGGGGCATTCTTGTTTATGATGCCCCCCCCTTCCCACAATGAAAACATTCCCTTGTGATTTCCCTAGTCAGTGGTGCCTCTTGGTTCCACCTTCCCTTTCATTCCCTTGCCTGTTTCAAATTTGTGATTTCCTGTCTGAGATTCCTTGTGTTTGTTTCTAACAGCTTCTTGTGCAGTTATCATAGTTTTAGCTTTAGTTTTAGCCTCTTCTTCATCCTTCCTAATATCTACTTTCTGTGCTTCTCTCAGGAGTTCCTCCAGACTCTTATTATAATGACCTAGAGTCACTCATATCTCTCCTCCGCTCTTGTTCATTCTGATTCCACTGCAGAGGGGTTACAGGGAGTTTCCTTTCCCCGGGTATCCCCTGCTGATTTTCTCTCTCCCATATCCACATTCCAACCGTTCTGATCATCTGTCTTTCTTCAGGAGAGAAAAAAAAAAGTCCCGTAATCGACTGCATCTCCTCCCATGTATATATATACTGGGTCCCAAAAATTGATCAATCTTCTCTGACAGCCCCACAGGGTCCTCTAATAACCTCCTAAATTCATTCTTATACGCCCTCACTTCTACATTAGTGAGCGGCACATCCACAAATCCCATCCCCCTTGAATTCCTGCCGCTGGGACTTCCCCGCAAGGGATTAACCCTAGCCGCCCCGTGCTCCCTTAAACGATTTCCCCCCCCCGCTTCGTTGCTGCCAGGTTTCAGGTCTGATATTAACAACAGGGGCCTCCTCACCCGCATCTTCCTGCTGCACCGCCTGATTTCCTAGGTGTGCCGGGTTATATGGGGGGGGGTAAATTATCCAAATGGTCCCATCTCTTTTCCTTCCTTTCCCTTTCACCTTCTTCAGCTTACCCCTACTTTCCTTACTTTCTCGTTCAAGTGCGAGCACCATAGGGTCCGGTGGGGGTACTAACCCACAGTCCCTTTGCCACTCTGGGTGATTTCGCAAAGTGAAAAACATATCCGCGTATGATACCTCATCCCATTTTCCTTCTCTCCTTAAAAACAACATAAGTTGTAACAGAGTGTTATAGTCCAGTGTTCCATTAAGCGGCCATTTAGCGCCATCCTCTATCTTATACAGCGGCCACCACTGATTGCAATATTTTATAAGAGTCCTTTTGCTTTCCGTGCCTCCACTCCCTGCAATATCCCGCCAATGGGCGAGTATACAGCCAAGAGGGCTCCTTTTTAATACCCCTCCCTGAGTATTACCCATCTTGTTTTTGTAAAACACTCACTCCAAACGCTCACGCTTAACACGGTCACCACACAGCATTCACTCACAATCTCACAATCTCACGGACGTCCACACACTTACAAGTCCACACACTTACAACACTTTCATCAGGAGTAAAAAAACCACAACAGAACAAAGGCCTTTTCAATCACTCTTGCCTGTGGCCGCCCTCTCGGCCAACAGGTCCCCGATTGGAGCCAGCGACCGCTCTATCGGTCTGTGGCAAGGTATAATTGCCCCTAGACTACCCTAACCCGCACGAATTCGCGCCTTTTCGGTGCACCTACCCGGCTTAGCTGCACGCCAGACGTCTCTGTGCGATTTACCAGCTGCTCCAGCCACGCGTACGACTTACAGGCTCCTATCCTTGAACATACCGTTTAGTCCACGGCTTCAGGAAGTCCTTGTCTGCCCCCCCACGGTGAGCGGCTGGTAGCGGAGGCTCCTCCGAGGAAAGTGCTCGGGGCGCGCCTGGGAGAGTCCGCCCCGCAGTCGATCCCGCAGTCGAGCAGAGAGTCTCCTGCCTGGCTCGCCAAAACTGACGTGCGGAAAACAGACTCCACAATCTGATAGATTGTAAAGTAGGTATGTTTATTCAGCGCTGGGCACACAGGGGATAACTCCTCCTATTGTGCGCCCTGATATGGCACCGTTACCTTAGATTTATAGAGCAAATGATTACATATTCATAATATTTCGCAATACGCCTATACATATGCATTACCTATCCCCGCTTCGTATTATAATTAGCATTTCCATAATCTCCTCCCAATTGAGTCTGCGCAGTGTCTTCTGGTGGTGGTCGTGGGGGTCTTTGGGGATGAAGTCAAGCTCCTCTTCCTCCTGTCCGCTCTGTGACCCCAGGTTTCGCGCAGACTCAGTCTCTTACTGGCTGTTGTCCAAACCATAGGTCTAGTCCCAACCGGCTTTGTACTGATAAAGCCTAAAGACTCCATACCTCAGCTCATCATGTTTTACAAACTATCTACTCATTAAGCAGAACTGTTATCTCAACTATTTCCCTTGTCATCCCCTTCTTGCTATTCCCATATTAACCCTTACATCCCCTGTTCCTATCTAGGCCCTGTATCACTCCCTGCACTAGAGAGGGGCTTGCTGGTCTCCAACAGGAGGGAAATTCTTTCTGATAATGGACGTTGCCCAGGTGCATTGTTACACTCCAACAGAGCTCCATGTGAATTTGTTGCTCTCAGAGGTGTATGATGCAAATCAAGGCCTCAGTAACAGGTGCTGCTCTGGCTCACCAGAGCTCTGCAGAACAAGTCCCTTACCAAGTGTTTACAACCTCTACGCAAAACAATTTATTGTCTTCTACTGCAAGAACAAAGACTTCAGCTGGTACAGCAGCAACCACGGTGGGCGACAGGAGCTGGAACTGGGGAAGGGCAATGCCCTTTGGCTACTACTGTAGCAGCACCATCTGCAGCAACCTTCATGTCACACCTCCAGAGGTGACTTTGAGGGGAACTTTGAAAGCAGAGGCGCTTTGCCGCTTGTGCGTTCGAACTTTCCCCGGGGAAGCGGAGCAGGCTGCGGGGCCAGCGAGGCCCGAAGCCCACGGCCATGGCGCTGGGCAGCCGGCCAAGGCCAGCCCGCGAGGAGGGAGGTCTGGGGAAGGTGCTGCCAAGCCCCGGGGAGAAGACAACCCTGTGGGCCCGGCGGAAGCCAACAAAGGAGCGTGGAATCTCCCAGGGCAGAGATTAACAGTCAACTTTATTGGAGCGGTGGTGGGGGATCAGGGCCAGCAGGCAGGGCCGGCGCAGGGCTGGTCGCGCGTCAGCGTCCGGGCCGGCTGTAAGGGTTCTGGGCCCGACGTCGTAAGCGGGAACGGTCTCGTCCCCGCACGGGCCCGGGGCGGCTGGGGCGGCGGCTGCTCTGGAGCCGTGCAGAGCTGGGGGTGCTGGGGCTGCCGGTCTCGGGTACCGGGGAGCCACGGGAGCATCCCGGCACCGACTGTGCGGGGCTGCTGCTCTCAGCCCTGGGTGCTGGTGCGCGGCTCCTGCCACGGCCTCTTGTGCGCCGGCTGTAGGGCTTTTGGGCCCGACGCCGCGAGCGAGAGCGGTCTCGCACGCGGTCGGGCCCAGGTGGGCTGGAGCAGCTGCTGCTCTCAGGCACTGGGGAGCTTTGGGATGGCCCCGATGCCACCTGGAGACCAGTGCTGCTGGGGCTGCTGGTCTCTGGTGCTGGAGAGCTGTGGGACGGCCCCGATCCTGACTGGCTCTCGGTGATGGGACCCGCGACCTCTGAGCTGCCACTGGAGGCTGTAAGGGGGAGCAGGAAGGTCACGGACACGGTCCCCCAGGCCCACGGCAGGAGAGGCCAGAGCGGTGCCCCCAGCCCCCCTGGAGCAGAGGGGCTCTGCCAAGCCCGGAATGGGCACCCGCTGCCAGGCCTCGCCCGGGGGCACCCAGGTGCTTTGCCTCTTACCGGTGCCCAGGCCAGCACAGCTGTTGCACTCCCATCTGGCCGTGTCGGTCCCGAAGTGGGAGCAGCGTCTGTGGGTGCCCTCGGCAGCACAGGAGCAGCACAGGAGCAGTTGCCAGGGCCTGGGGAAGCAAACGGTGCGTGGCTGTGAGGACAAAGTGACCGCAGCACGGGATTGTCCGGCAGAGCTCTTGTTCTCCGTCCCTCCGCTTCGAGCCCTTGGCGAGACAGAGATCCTGGGCAGAGCCCAGGTTGCCGCTCGGGCAACTTACCCCTGTTCCTCTGCGTGCTGCCTGCCTCCTGGGCAAAGGCACTCACGGGCATCGCAGCGGCTGTGCCTCTCATTTGGTGCTGCGTCTGCAGGCTCGTTCTCCCATGCTGGGGATCTGAAACACAAGGGAAAATGGCTGAGCCCCTGCTGCCCCGGCATAAGGCAGATGCAGGGTGTCCCTGCTCTTCCCCGCCTGCCCATTTTCTGACTCCTGCATGAATCTGAAGCCCAGGCTGAGGGAGAGAGCGGAGGGTCGGGAGTGCAGGGGCAGTCCCTGGCACGGCACAACGCTGGCACCCTCCTGTCTGGTGGGGCGGGGAGGACACCAACCTGAATGGGATTCGGATGCCCATGTTGAACATCTCCATGAGAAATGCATGCTCATCTCTACAGAGAGGGCACCGGAAGCAAATGCTGGCGCGCGCAGCCTGTCCCTGCAGGGGAAACATGAGGAGCAGGCGTGAGGCCTTGGTGCTGCTGGGCGCCCGCCGTGCCCCCCCCGTGGGCGAGGGAAGGGCTCCTACCTGGATGCAGGCCCTGTGGAACCAGGCGTGTTTGCACGCTGGGCACACCATGGTGCCGTAGGACTTCCTGTCCTCAACAGGGTCCAGGCAGATGAGGCAGGCGGTGTTCTCCCCCGGAGCCGCCTCCACTGCCTGCTCTGGGCGGTGCTGCCAGCAGAAGGACCTGGGGAGGCAAGAGGAAAGGGAAGGGTGAGGAGGTGGGAATGGCTGGGTCCTTCCCCGGTGGCGGCAGGAAGGGGAGAGGAGGTACCTGTATTGAGGAAGGAACTGCGTGACACATTCCCCCTCCACGGCGCAGGGGAGGTGGAAGCTGCGGTCACAGCCCTCCTGGCAGCAGGTGATGGCGGCCCCGCTCTCGCCACAGACGAAGCAGCGCTGGAAAGAGCAGAGCAGCCCCCATCAGTGGCAGCCTCAGGGCCTCCAGAGCCAGCCCCACGCCTCCGGGCAGGGCGCAGGATGCTGCCCCACTGCTGGGTCAGAGCCCGCGGATGCGCCCGGCGCACGAGGCTCCTGTGCTGGGTCTGGGTGGAGGCTCTGTGGAGCTGCTGGGCGCGAGACTTTTGTCCCAGAGCTGCTTGGAAGGGCTGGGATTTCTTTCTTGGGGTCTGGGCTAAGCTCCCACACCGCTCCCGTGGCACCACAGATCTCCCTGAGCTTGTCCAGTCCTTACCTGCTGCGCTGCATGCTCGACTGTATGGAGAATATCCTCCAAGGGGAATCCCATCAGTCCTACATTGTTTACCTGTTCCTGAAAAAGCTCATTGGCAAAAAACTGCGCAGGAGAGAGGAGACGAGGAGGTGATGAGAAGGAGAGCGTGGCCGGGGCTGCCTGTCGGCAAGCTGGAGGGAGCCTCGGGGGCACTCACCAGGCAAAAGAGGTGGGCGCAGAGCCCTAGCTTCTGCAGTTTGTACCCGCAGATGTCCGGGTCAGCCTCTGCCCGGCCACACAGCATGCATGCTGGAGGGGAGAGAGCAAACGCCACTGGGAAGGAGCAGTTCACCTCTGCAGGGCCGGGGTAGTTGTCCCTGAGGGTTGGCCCCTAGGAGACTGTTCTGTCCCTTCCCAGCTGGCTGATAGGCAGGGCTGCAGGCTGGGGAGAGGAAGAAGCGTTGCAGGCACTGTTTTCCCAGCAGCAGGTATCCGCGGCTCAGCCTAGGCTCCTCCTGGGCCCACCGACTGTTGCGCGGAGAACCGTCGCCTCACCGGTTTCCCGCTCTTTCTGTGCGTGAGGCGGCTCAGTCCGGCGCTCAGTATCGTATCGCATCGCGCCCCGCCCCCTGCCGTGCACGCGACCGCGGCCGCGGCCGCGGCCGCGCGGCGGCGCCGGCCCCTCCCGCTCTTCCGTTGCGTTATCTCGCGCTCGCCCTCTCGGCTGAGGGAGAAGTGGAGACCGTCATGGCGACGTGGCGAGTTGCTCTCGGTTTCAGCCTCTGTCTGCTGCTGTCGGTGGCCGGTGAGTGTGGGACGGTGGCGGACGGGCGGGGTGTGCCGGGGCTGCGAGCGGGGCGGGGGGAGGGTCCGCCCCCGAGGAGGGTGGGCGGGCTCTGGGGTCTCTTTCTGAGGCGGCTTCGGGGACTACTGTCGCAGTGCCCGGCTTCGGGAAGAGACCCCTTCGGCTCTGCCGCCCGAGCGGCGGTGGGCGCGTCCTGCAGGAGATGTCCCCGCCGGGACAGCGCGTTTGGTGCCAATTGAGCTCATTGAGGGAAAAGTTACGGTCAAAGTGAGGTAGGTTTGCGTTGATACCGGTGTGCGTTGCTAGATAGCAGCAATTTGTAGCTCAGTAATGACTGCGTGGACCCACCTAATGAATGCTGTCTACTGGTAAACTTGAGGTGAGACTCTTGGAGTATACCACAAAGTGGCTGCCGGTCACTCCTGTTGCATCCCATTAAAAGCATTCAGTTTTTCGCCCTGACACAGTGAATGTTAGCTTTTTAGTGCAAGATAATATAAATACTTAGGTGTTAATTGATGATATTGTGTAAACAGTACTGCTTATATAAACTCATTTGATAATTGATTTCATCCATAGCAATTGGGTGCTAACACTGAAAATTGTAATTTTTTTCAGCAACCTTATCTGTAACTATCTTGTTACAGTGATTTAAGGATGGAGCATATAGCTTTTCCCAACTTTTTCATGTGTTGAGGAAAAACAGGCGTGATCATAGGACTTATCAGGTGAAACCTCAGTAAGGAGAAGCACTCTTGTTATTATATGCATCAGTGGCATCACTTTATCTCATGGATTAAATTCTGCAGAGACACGTGCAGGAAAGGTGAATGTGATCTTTAGTGGATACGCAAGAGGATGTTTAACTTGGTCAGAGTAGAAAGGGTCACTGTCTGAGGGCTGAGTTTAAAGCGTGGCTGAAACTGTCAGTTTTACCTGTAAGTACATTGAAGGGTGATCACCAGAAGGCTTCACTAAGATGGTTAACAATGATGGTGCTACAGCAGTAACTGTGTGCAAGCTGTCCTTGAATAAATGGAGTTGGAAGTTAGAAGTTTTCTTCTTGGAATGGTTGAGGACTTTCAGTGGGAATAGTTTCTCAGCTCTGCTCTCAAGATGGAACTTGATCAATTTGTTAAAGGGTTTTAGTGGTATTGCTTGTGTGAAATCATCAGGCTGCTGTTTTGCAGGATAGGATGAACCCTTCAGTAGCACGTATGCCAAAACAGGAGATCGTTTCTGCCTCCCTGAGCCTTCACCCTCGTGTTGTGGTGCGTTGGGTATATACTGGACTTCTTCTGAGGTGACTCAAATCATTAAGCCGGCAGAAAACGAGCTGGGGAAAAGAAGTCCGCTGGCCCCTAGTTGATCTGCTGATCAGCTGGTGAATTGGATCAGTTGAGGGAAGAGTCTGGTGGGTGCCCCAGCTGATGGAAGAAGAGAAGAACAAAGTAGAGGAGCCACAGTTTTCTCTCTTGGTGTGCTTGGCCCTAGTTGATTCAGCTTTGCTGCCTGAAAACTAGCCTAGACCTTTGGTTTCTGTTATTTCATTGTGTTGCAGTAGAGCAATTGCGAGATGGAGCGAGCAATTTCGTTGGCTACCTTGTTTTATTTGTAATTTCACAAAATATTTTGGAATTGGTTTAGCTACCTATCATTTCCTTATTGCTGATACAGGAAGGAGGGAGTTAGCAGGTGATGTTATGTGCCTGCAGAGGAAAAATTTGGTGAAACAGGCATAAGCATGCATAAACACACTGGTTGAAGTACTGTGGTATTGGTACAGGAGAAATTCCCCTTTTCGTTTAATGAACCTCCACATTTAACCCCTTAGAACATTTTTTAAATTTAACCTTGGCCGAAATATTCGGTATGTCTTGGTGCCAGAGAGTCAAGACTGAGTTTTCAAATGGCAAAATCAGTTTAAATACCCAGGAAATACCCCTTACTTCTGAATGAATATGATTTGTTGTGTTTGCCTCCTCTTGTTTGATTTCTCTGAACAACTACACTTGAAGTAATTTGAGCTTGGATGGAGTGTGGCTTAGGAGAAAAATATCAGGGTATGCCTTGTTAATGTGATACGTGATAGGAAGGAAAATCAGGAATAGAAACTAGCTGACTTCATTTATCACTGAAAACTGTAATGATAGTCTTGCTAAAGATTCTTCTTGGGAAATGCTTTTTGCCTTAAGCTTTGAGGAGTATTTTTATGTGACAGTTGGAAGTTTTTAATGTGTAGTTCTTACATTGCAGTCACTCAGGCTTGAGAGGGCAAAGGGAGAGAGAAAACAGCCAGTATGTTAAGGAATGTATCAGCCCAACTCAATGCTGAAAAACACAGGATATCCCCTAAGAAATCCATCCTAGTATATTAACATCTCTATTTCCTTACCATTGTAGCTGCACTGTTTGACACTTGCAATGGGAAGATGCCACGTAAGTGATTTTAGTCCTAGGAATCTCTGGTTTATGCCAGGGATTAACAGGATCAGGATTTTCTGTAAAGTAAACAAAGCAACAGGTAGAAACAACCTGGTCACATGGAAGTCCAAATCTACAGTGAATGCAGTTCTATTGCTTTATTTGCATCAAGAAAAATTTAACATTTTCTTCTAACTGATCTTAGGGCTTGTTTGGATTTTTTAACATATCTGGCTAGTCACAATGCCCTGAGTCTTTACAGTAATTTGGTAGCCACTAGCAGACGTAGTGAAGACAGTGCCACAAGACAGAGCATCTTGTAAGTATATTTGCGTGCAGTTTAGTCCTCTATGTATGTGTGAACAGTTGGGAAGAGCTACTTGACAAAGACGAGATACCTTGTGTGAGTAGTATTTGCCTTTGGTTTACTCTAAAGGAAATAACTGATTTGTAAGACGTAACCAAAATACTTGAAACATATTTAAATGCTAACCTAGGTGAGCTGGTCACTATGAGAAAGTAACTAAAGAAATAATCATATAAAGTCTCTAACTATTGGATTTTAACTCTTTTTTCAGTTTTGGGTGAGGATTGTCAGGCATATATAGATCGTCATGGCAAGGCACAACCTGCAAAATCCTGTCCCAACTTCTGCTGTGGAGATTGCATGCTTCAATACTGTTGCTCTGATATGTTATTAAAATTTGATGAAGAACAACAATTTCAGTGTACTCTGCTTGAGGGAAGGTATGAGGCAAACTGAATGTATATAGCAATTATAATTCTATCATCAAATGATGAAAACACAGTTTAATGGTTCAAAACTTAGAAAGGGACCTTTCAGCGCTCCTATCTGGCTCTGTCAGGGATTTGTGTTAACTTACCTGTAAAATGGGAGCAATGAGGTAGACAAATTGATGCATGAAATTTTCAAATGCTTTTTACCCAATTTAATCTTTGAGGATGACAAAATTAATTTCTTTCTCTTTTTAGTGTACATTACCTTTCATAAGTATTTGGAACTTAGCCAGTTACTTGAATAAGTCATGCATTCCATTTTTGAGATGAATTCTCTTACTACAGGACCTCTGACTCAAGCAACATAAATTACATGCATGTTTTTTCGGACCCTGATGATTACATTTCTTCTGGCCCCAGGTAAGCCATGCAACATCTCAGCTTTTAAAATGATACATATTTAGAGGTTCTTCATATTGTAATCAATGCATGCCAATAGAATACAGAAATAGAAATACTTATTTGTGTGTTAAGAATGTGGAGCACTCCATCTCCACGTATGTGTTGGAACATTTGAGGAAGTAGAGACACGAGGAGGTCAGGTTCAGCTGATCAGACCATAACGATCGCTGTAGGTGATATCTGTGTTCTCCTCACCCAATGGGAGGTTGCCCGCTGAAGCGGTCGCATGCTTGCTCTGTTCCCTTCCGTACTGACACATTAAGTCCACAGTGGCTCAGTAAGAGAAGCTGGTTCTGTTTTGAGGTTCTTTCCGGGCTTTTAGCATCTTTTGTACTTAGTCATCATCAGTATTTCTTGTTCCGTTTCAATCTCGGGCAAATTAAAATCTTTAAAGTCTATGACATACCGGTGTTGACGAGAGTCCTGCTGTAGAGCCTCTCTGTTTTTCACAGCGTGGGAGGCTGCGAGGGGGGGGCGAGGGTTAAGTCTGAGCTGCGAATACTTGATGCGTCTGCGGGCGTTTGAATAATGAACTTTCAGGGGGTGACAGAGAAGGGGCTGGGACTCTCCGCGGAGCAGCAGCGCGGCGCTGAACCCCCGCGGAAGGGGCGCGGGCGCTCCCGGACGTCGCGGCGTCGTCCTTTAAGGGGGCGGGGCGAGCGGCGTGACGTAGAGGGCCGGGGCCGGGCTGGGCCGGCGGTGGGCGCGGGGCGAGCGGCGGTGGCAAGCATGGGGTAAGCGGGTGAGGTGGGAGCGGGGGTCGCCACAGCCGCCGCGGGCTCGGTAGCCTTTGGCGAACGGGGCCGTGTAAGCGGCGAGGCCTCCGCCTCCCGGGGCGGGCACGATGCGGGAGGGGGCGCGGGGCCGGCGTCGCTCTGCGGCAGAGCGGCGAGGGGCACTCCGCGCCCCGCCACCGGAGTCGCGACTTGCGGCGGGGAGGGAGCCAGCCTCGTGGGGCACCGGCGAGAAGAGGGTGAACGAGCGTCGTGGGTCCTTGGTCTCTTTTGACCCAGTAGGTCTTCCACGAAGAAAGGATTGGTGCAACAAATATTTTCGGAGGAGGGATGTCCCTTCCCTGCGAGGCTGAGGGAGCTGTCTCACGTATCTTCTTCACATGAGCGGTTCAAGTACTGCAGGCATGAGCTTCAGCTTGCAATCAGCGTTCACTCTTGATGCGATTTAGTGGAAAGATAAAAAAACAACTTTCCATGTCTCTAGTGCTGCAGAGATCTTGAATCTGCTGGAGTAAAAAAGGTGAAATATCAAGAATGTAATAAATACATTTTTTTCCATACCAGTAAGCATAGTTATTAAAAAGCACAGCAAATGAAAGAATGTAGTCTTTTAAAAAAACAAACAAAACCAAAAGCCCTGCGCAGTTTTTAAAGAAATTGTAACCAAGGCCCATAGTTCACAAAGGTGCATTTGTAAATGACAGAAAATATTTAGGAAGTAGCAGCTAAGTTGCTTTAGTTATCTTTGTTTTCAACTGTGGAATGTCTAAAAAGAGAGAATCATTGATGTCTCATCTTGAGAAAATGGGTCATTAGTGATTTATCTTTTTCAATTACATTACAGCTTTAAAAAAATTAATGTATTGTGCAGAGGCCTAGACTTAACATCAGGCTTGCTTTCTGGTTAGGCAATTTTAATGGAAAGATGGTAATTATTCACAGAAATAATGCCCTTGAAAAGCCACTCACATGTGACTCCAGAGCAAAAACACATCCCAGAGCTTTCCAAAGTGACCAGTGACTAGGTGTTCAATTTAGGGTGTTTCAACACTAGGATTTAAAGTGAGTAGGAATTTCTGTGATTGCAGTTAGAGGGACACCAAGTCGGTTTCTGTTCCATTACAGACTTTGTCTAGGTTTTTGTGCGGTGTGTGTTGGAGTTTTGGAGTTGGGTTGGTTTGTTTGTTTGGTTGGTTGGTTGGTGTTTTTTTTTTTTTTTTGTTGTTGTTGTTGTTGGTTTGGTGGTTGTTTGTTTGATTTTTTTTTTTTTTTTTTTTTAACCAAGCAATAAGCTGTATTCCTTCTGGAAGAGTTGTCCCTGGTTTCTGCCTGCAAGGTATACTCCACCCTCTCCCTTCCTGCCAGTTTCTTTTAAAAGACAAGTTTTACATTGTTTCTTGATGACTGTGTTTGTTTAATGCTTTACTGTGTAGAGAGGAGGGCTGATGTCAGTTGAGATATTTCTGCCTCTCTCCCAGCAAGATGAGCACAATCTTTGAAAAGTTAATAGCAGGAGAAGAGGCAACAAAGGGCAACTTTTAGTGCCCTGTTCTTTCTCATGAGTTGCAAGTACTACCTTTGACACTGCCCTTCAAAAGAAGGAGGTGATGGTTTCCTGGCATTAAGGGTCAGAAAGCATTTAGTCCCTCGTTCTTGCATCTGGCTTATTCCTAGATCAAGTTACCACTCTGGTACATTGCTCATAAATCCTGGCTTTTAAAGAGGTGTTTGCCTCTCTGAGGACTTGTCACAAACTGCATGTGGACTTGCCACTGGGCTGAGTGAGCTGCGGTGTCTCCCTGCTTGGAAAACTTGCCACCATCACTCTGATTCTATGAACAGTGTTAGGGGAGGGTTAGTCATGGTGTGTATGTTCTTCCTTGGGTCTAGGTTAGGAGTTTTTAGTTTGCTTGTGCTTTTTTTGCAGTGTTTATTCTGAGGTCTTCTGCAGAAGTAGAAGCAAAGCACCAGTTTTTAGTAGGTTTCTTTCTGTTAGTATTCTTTAATGTTAATATCTTTCAGTATTTAATATTGACTATTGTGCTGTTGAGGCAAGGGTGCAAGGCACTTCAGGCAACCCTATTAAGGTTTAGGTCACAGTGCAAGCAGATCATATCCTATAATCTTGTTTTGGACATTTTAAAGGCAGCAAATTACATTTCTTTGGAGTGTCTTAATAGTCTACTTTCAAGTACTTGAAAACATTTTGTTTCCCAGAACATTGCAGTTGAAAGCAAAGGTAAGCATTTTAGGAAAATTTTAAAAGTTGGCAGTAGCTCAGATTCAGGCTTTTTTGTTATTGATCAATCCTTAAAGATCATTCACAGCTTTTAGGTTAAAGCATAGGCATAGGTTTCATACCACTAAACTTGTTACATTTTCCACCATTTTTCCTTGCATGCAAGATGACCATGCACAATTTCTACAAGTTCTGCTGCTAGTGAATGCATTGTGGCAAGGATTTACTACCAGAAGGTGTTTCACTTTTTTTTTTTTTCTCTTTTAATTGTATTACTGAATTTTCTCTGATTCATTGGAACAGCGGTTGTTATAATTTGCATTGGTAAAATGGTTAGTTAGCCTTGGTATGCCATTTTTCCAATAGTGACCCTTACTGGAAAAGGAAATTAGATGACTCATCCACAATTCAGCTAATTGTGAAATATCTGAGTGTTTAAGGAAGTAGAGCAATTCAGAACATCTGTATCAGATACAAAAGAAAACAGAGTACATGGGGCAGCTGATAGCAGTCTTTCTAAATGGAAAAAAACCTTCAGATTGTCTTTGTAGGCAGTTAATTGGACTCTGTTTCTGAATTAATTTCTGCCATGAAGTTACAGCAGATTATGTAACAGATACAGTAATGCTTGAGAAAAGGCTGCGTGTCCTTACGTGATAAGAAGAGAGAGGCAGAATGACAGTCTTCCTGGGAAGCCGCAGCCAGCAGAGACAGAACAGCCTTGTTAGACAGGGGATGCGCTTACTCGGGTTTTGTCATGGGCTGATCAATGTGTTGTCTTGTGTCTTCATTCTCCTTTTGTAAAATGGAGAAAATCCATGTAAATCTGCCTGCCTGTGACTGAAATGCAGCATCTGCAGTAGTCTATGTGCATAAATTGGCAAAACCAGTCAATTTCTAACTGTGGAAGATGTGATTATCCTAATCTGCTGTCTCAATTTAGGTGTTTTTAAGCATATGTTTTCTCCATGAACAACGTAAAAAATACCATGATATTGAACTATACCCCACTTCTCCTCCTCTTCCCCTATCGTTATCAGGGACTTGAGTTTACACTTTACAGTGTATTTGGATGCTCCAGCATCTGTAATAGATTGACAATGATAAGAAAATAAATTACGAAGATTATTAATTGGAAAAGAACCTCTAGAAAGGTAAGCACCCTCTGTTTAGTGAGCAGAGGATTTATTTTCCAGTACTGGAATTAATATTTTCTGTAATACGTGAGTTAAACTGCATACAGAGCCTGTTCTGGGAGGCTTGCATTCAGATACAGGCTAATCTTACCAAGCGATGTAAGTTTCTTGTTGAGAAACAATCGAGATTTGGATTTGAAGCTATTTTAAAAATTGTTCTATGCTTTTTACTCACCTGAAAAGTAAATACAAGCTTGCACAATTTGTAATTGTAATTTGCATTACAGAGCATTTGGTTTTGTGTTCACTGTATTCTCAGTGAAGAAGCTACTTAAAGCTGACAAAGCAGTTGTGAGTTGCCATTAAGGATTTCTCAGCTGCCTGCTTCAGGAAGTGGGCTTAATGCTCAAGCAGGTTGATTTTCTCTGAAACCAGGATGGAAGGAGATATTGAAAAATGCTGCCCTGGCCTAAGAGGCAGATGTGCATAGTTGAATTAGTGCACTCTGAAGTACACGACAAAAAACAACCTGGCCTAAACACTCAAAGCCACACCAATATTAATTGCTTGGATTATGTTCAGGAGTTAAATTTTTCTGTGGGTGTGTACTTCATTGACTGTCTGTATTTACTAGGGTAGAATGTTCTTCTAACTCTGGGGGCTTTGGTGTGCCTCTACACTGTAACTCTGAAAACAGTAAATTTTTAACAGATAGGTTGATTCTGGAGAGAGCTTGTCAAAGCAGCCACAGGCAGAGTAATCCTCAGAGAAGGGTCCTGTAGCCCAAGAAACAGAGTCCTTCCTTGCAAACATGGTTAAACGACCATGATTGTTATTTAGTGAGATCTATGAAAGTTTGAGCATGTGGGTTCCAAAGCTCTGCTGTTTCATATCCTTCCATAAAATAGCCATGACCTGAGGCATAGCCAGATGTATTTGCAATAGATTGTGTTGTGGATGTATTATGGGAGGAGAATGTCCTTAAATTTCCAAGCCTTTTAAAACTACAGTTGTAGGGTCTTCTGTGAAATGAATAAATTAGTTTTATTCCATGAAATTAGCACTTGTTCAAAGATTGCACATGAGTAATGTGGGTAGGAATAAGGTGTGTTTCATACAAGATCTGGGTTCTACTGTAAGCAAAGGTGGTGGGTGTAACCTAGTCTAAACTTCCTTTGATCGCAATTTCATTGTGTTTGGCAAGTCATACACTGGGCTGCAGTTTGCCAGAAAAAAAAAAAATCCCTTTTTTAGTTAGAAATAAAACTTTAACTGTGTAGCCAAGTTAGTTCCTAATTAGTTGCTTAAATCTGCTTTCTAGAATTAGTATGGTATTGGCAGTAGTATTGTATAGTACAGTATGGCAGTTGTTCTGCAGTACTTATTTTTTTTTCAGTTAAACTTGTTCTATTAATTCAGTTAACCATTTCAGAAAAATCCCTCACATTGCTTTTATGTTGGTCCCAAACTTTAATTAGGGTGGG